ATTAAAAAAGAAATGTTTTTCTTTGATGCTTTTCCTTTAGCAACAAAAGTATCAATTTTTGAAATTCAAAGATTTATAGAATTTAGTGCTTTAAAGAATTCATTAAATGAAAGTTTTGATAATGTTAATACAGTTAAAAGAGATTGGTATTATTTAAATATTTATTACCTTAAAAAAGTTGGAGCTATTGTTGATGATTCAAAAAGTCCAATTTGTGAAATTAGTTTTAAAAGATCATTTGAAGAAGAAGGTTTAAAAGAGTTTAAAGATAAAACAATTCAACTTCCTTTTATTCTTCAATAAAATGAAAGATTAAATTATTAATTTTTTTTTTGATATTCAAGTTAAATTTATTATATCTTCTAAACTAATAAAACTAACAACAAGAATTCTTTGATTCTGTTAATGGTTTTGAAAAAGAAATAGAAGAATTTTTGTCAGGTGATGGTGGTATTTTATTTTTTAACATTAAATCTACTAATTGTTGAAACATTAATGTAACGTTACTTCCTTCTTTAGCTGAAGTTTCTAAAAATGTCATTTGATGTTCTTCTGCAAATGCCATTGCTGTTTGTGTTTGGACACATCTTCTATAAGAAAGATCTGATTTTGATCCAATTAACATAACTTCACATTCAGGGCATTCTTCTTTTAAAGCAGTATACCACATCATGACGTTATTAAAACTTGTTGCATCAGTAATATCATATACTAAAAAACAACCATTACTTGCTTTATAATAACTATTAACAATAGACCTAAATCTTTCACTTCCAGCAGTGTCCCACTTTAAAATAATTATTATTGTTATAATTTTTTTTATAATTTTGAAAGTATCTTAGATAAAGCAAATCTTTATAAAAAATAACAAACAATTTGCATTTTTATTGTACGACCATTTTTTTTCATTGTAGCAACTTTAAAATCAACACCTATTGTTGTGACATATGTTGTACTAAATGTTGAATCACAATATCTTAATAAAAGTGATGTCTTTCCAACTGAAATATCTCCAATTAATAATACTTTAAGTAATATAACATCTCTACTATTTAATTGACTCTTTTTAATAAATTAATATTATGCATTGAATCAAACTCATCTTCCATGTCAAATAAGTTTATTTTTTTTTTAATTCTTTATGTTGTTTTCTTAAATTTAATCAAAAAATACAATAAACATTATTCTTTTTGTCTTGAAAAGTTATTCTTTAAAGGAATATTCAAAGTTTCTTTTATAATTTATATTTTCTTAACTTATTTATTAATTTTTTTATTAACAATATTCAAAATTATTTATAGTAATATATATTTTTGTAAAACAACTTTCTTTTACATTTTGTTGTTTTAAAATAAATTCTTCCTTTAATTCTTTTCAATTAAACTTTTTAAATTAAATTAACTATAAAGTTACTTTTTTTTTTGTTAATGTCTTTTTCAATTGAACTTTCTGAAATTGATAAAAAGATAAAATCAAAAAAAAATAACAAAAACCAAATAAATAATCATTAATAACATTCTAATTATCAATAATTGCTTTTATATTAACTTCATGATTTGGTTTTATCAAATTTTGTTTTAAATATTCATTCTCTCCTTTTTTTGAAGTAACACCCTTTCTAACTTTCTTTGTAATGACCAAGAGAAGAAGAGAAATAATCCAAAGTAAAAATACAATACCTTCAAAAATACTCCAAAAAATAACATGTGAAATAGGTTCTAATTCATCACTTGAATCATATCGAATATCAACATAACCTTCAAATATTCCATAATCATTTGCATTCATTCCTCCTACAAAGACATATTTTTTACCTTTATTTAAACGAATATTTAATAAACACCCATTATTTCCAATAGGTGAAGTAATACAATTTGCTTGGTCTACACACACTTTTGGTACAGACTCATTATAAATAACTTCACAACTTTCATATATTTCTACAGCAGTTTTAAAAGAACTAGAAGCATTTATTTGGATAGTAACATTAGCAGGTCTTGAAAGGTCGAGTAAATACCAAATCCCTTTTAACGAAATAATTTCTCTACATTTTGATTCTGAAGTGGTACCACGTGATGTAAACCCTCTAATATTTCTACTTTCACTTATTATAGTAGCAAATTTACAACTACTATCAGTAGCTTTTTGGTCATAGTACAATGAAAATCTAGCTACTCCTGAATTTGATGAAATAATACCAATATAACTATTAACATTTTTATCTATTGAAATATCAACTGAATGTCCAAATCCACATGAAGAAGATATTCCTTGAATACACTCAAGTGATTCAGGACCACTAAGATCACTTAGTAATGAAATGTTAGTTAATAAATTTGATTCAGTTCCACATGTACTTGCTGTATATTTAAATGATGGGTCGTGTGAATATTTTAACCAAACTCCATAGTGATATGTTTTTGTGTCTTCTTCTGCACTGCAATAATTTTCTATTTCAAAGGGTAAAGCTACCATTTTAGTAAATGGAATTGATTCTATGATAATTGGATTGGATGGATATTTTCCAATATTCTCTTTACTTTTTAATGCCCAAAACAAGAAATAACCATATTGAGCTGGTATATAAATTGTATATGAAGTTGCAAATACATAAAATTCTTTATATTTAAGTTCTATTGTTGAATAACTTGTTTCTAAACATATAGTAGAATCACATTTATCATGAACTTCTAAATAACACATGAACTCTTCAGCTAGATATGGAGTTATTCCAATAATAATAGTATCCTCTGAATTTTGAATAAAATGATACCAACTTCCTTGCATTTCTTCTATGTCTTGAGAACATCCAATCATTGAACTTGGTAATAATGATGAACCAACAAATTGAGAATAAGTTTCATTTTCATTTAATGAAATAATATGAGCGTTTTCACATTGTCCATTAGTTACTCCAGTAACTGATAATACAGAAACACTAATTTCACAAGGTTCTTTAATACAAATTACTTGTATCATGGTATTAGTATTATATTCAGATTGAACAATAGTATATTCATGTTTACCTTGAAAAGTACCTTCTTTAAAGTTACCACAATAATTGTTATATCCAATAATTGTTTCAGTAACTTCAGAAAAATATTTAGTATAAAACGTAGTAAAAACATATTTATTTGTATCCCCTGCAAGACTAAAGAAAATTACTTTACCAGTTACATTTTTTCCATTATTTCTTGTATAATTCACTTCTGGATTAGTTGATATATTAAAATTCATATAAAATGGAAATTGAGTTATTCCAAATGCTGTAGAACAATCTCCATATTGAGATTGGTCATAAATGTGTAACTGAAATGAGCGTTGTTGTTTTAATATACCACCTGTTGGACTTACTGCAATGTAATATAATTCATTTGGTATTAAATTTTGTGCATCATAACTTGCTAATGTTCCACATCCATTAGAATTTGATCCAATATATTCTAATCTAATTAATTTTTGATCATATTTAAAAAGATAAATTGTAGTTGGAAATGATGTATATTTATTACAAGTATCAATTCTTATAGATGTTGTTTTAGGAGTAAATGAATACCATCTTCCTGAAATACTTAAATCAGTATTTGGTATATCTGAAATAGTACAATCTTCTGTTATTCTATCATCAACAACAGAAGGAATATTTAAATTTAATGCTAATTGATAAAAACAATTATTTTGTTTAATTAAATTAGGACTATAAGGGCTTACAGTTAAAGTATATAAACCAGTAACATTAGATGTACTTGTTATTAAAATATAGTATTTTTTATTTGTTTCAGGTTGGAAGGTAATTCGAGATAATATTCCTCCACACACCCCTTCTGGATCATCATTTTGAGATTGTCCACAATCACTCAATATTTTATTGCATGAGCTAAATATTCTTACAATTGCAGGAAAGTTGGTGTGTGGATAACAAGTTGATATTTTGAGTAATGTTGGAATATTATCTGTTGTAAATGAATACAAAATCCCATTTCTATTTCCTGTTAAATTTCCATTTCTACAACTCCATGGATATTGTGTAGTGCTCCACGTTAAATTGTTACTGTCTTCATAATCTTTCTTTATATCAATTTCTATCGTTTTGTCACATAATTGTCCATTCACTTCATGTTTCAAAAAAATGAACAGAATCAAAAATCCCCATTTTAATAACATTTTTATTCTTTTTTATTAGTTCTAAGTTTTATTTTTAAGTTCTTTATTATGTTAAGGATAAATGATAAAAGTCCTTATTAACTTAATTTTAATTGAAATAAAACAGAAAATATTTTGATAATTTCAAGTGAATAAAATAGTAAAAAAGCTCTAACTAAAAAAAAAAGCAGAAGAACTAAAAAATTTTTTTAGAAAGAAAAATTTGGAAGGGAAAAGAATCTAAAAAATGATAATAAAAGATGTCAAAAAGATTATATGTTGTAAATGAGATTGTATCAACTGAAGAGTCATATGCACGGGCATTACAAACTGTTGTTGACCTATATATTAATCCACTCAAAGGAATGGATTTAATTAGTGAAGAAGATATGAAATGTTTATTCTGTAATTTAGAAGAATTATTGGATGGGGCCAATCAATTAACAAAACAGTTAAAAGATCGGTTAAAAGAGTTTGCACTCAATGATAATATATGTGATGTATTTTTATTAAACGTTTGTTAGTAATAATTATTTTTATAGAAAATTTTTTTATAGTTTTATAATTGTTTTTAAAAGGAAGTAACAATATAGAAACCATTATTTAATCGATTTGGTCCATATATTCAAAATTATGAAAAGGCTTCATTATTATTTGATAAGTTATCTAAAAAAAAGAAATTTGAAGAGTTTTGTGAAACACAAAAAGAAAATCCATTATCTAATAATGGGAACTTAATGTCATTCTTAATATTCCCTGTCCAAAGAATTCCTAGATATATTTTATTAATGAAAGAATATATTAAGAATACAGAAAAAGATCATCCAGATGCAGTTATTGCAGAACAGGTAAGAAGATATTTAGATTCATATGCTAAAGCTGTTAATGCAATTATTGCAAATGAAAACAATAAACAAAAGATGAGAGATATTATTAAAATGTTTACTGACTTAGATCCTAAAACCGAAGATGATTTAAAAACTTTACCTCGTACTTTAGTACGTGAAGGTATTTTAAGAAAACAATGTAGAAAAGCTGTAAAAGAAAGGTACTTTTATTTATTTAATGATGCAACAGTAATTTATGGTGAACAACAAGGAAAGAAAATACAATTTCATCAATTATTAGAATTAACTTCTGTTAAAGATATAGAAGATTCTGACATTAGTCAAAATGGATTCCAACTTAAAGGACTTCAAAAATCAGTTGTTGTTTATGCAGAAACATTTGATGAAAAAAAAGAGTGGGTAATGGATTTAAATAAAGCGTTCACTGGTGAAAGAAAATATGAATTTGAAGAAGAGTTAAGTGATAATGAAGCAGCTCCAACATGGATACCTGATGATAACGTTTTGGATTGTATGAATTGCCATTCAAAATTCACTTTATTAAATAGAAGACATCATTGTAGAAAATGTGGAAGAGTTTTATGTGCTGAATGTACAAAGAGAAGAGTTGTTATTCCTCATATTAGTTCTAAACCCGTTAGAGTTTGCGAGAATTGTGCTACAAAATTTGAAAACAAAGATTTTGAAGGAGTTGATGATAACTCTGAACATGTTAATGCAGATGGAATTGTTCCTCCTTCTTTACCTAACATTCCTCCTCCACAAAGAAAGCAACTAATTAAAATTAGTTCGATGTATCCAACACTTCAACCACCATCAAGAGAACCACCTGAATTACCTCAGTATGAATCTTATTAATTTTGTTTCAATAATATTTTTTTGTCTATGAGCAAATTAATTTAAGGTTATTAAAAGAAAATTAATTTATGTAAAAAAACATTATTGACGTTGTGCCTCAATAATGTAATTCAATAATTTTTGTTCAGATTCTTTTGAAAGTAAGTATTCATTTGACAAATTCTTGCATATTTCATTTGGGTCATCATCTTTATTAATATTAATCCAAATTTGTTTACCATTTGGAAGAATACACATTATATCAATCACAATATTTTCATTTTGGTTTATTTGACTTTTTCCTTCAATAATCTTTCCTCTTAGTCGTTGTTCTTCTTTTTTTAATTGTTCTAATAATTGTTCAGTATTTTTAATTTGTTGACAAATATATGACAATTGCTCATTTTCATTAATAAGTAATTCTTTATTTTCTTGTTGGTATTCTTTCAGTTCATTACTTTTAATACTTTTATACACTTTTTCTTCCTCTTTTATTTCTTTCTTAGTTTTTTCATCAATTTCTTTTTTTTCTTGTTTCTCTTCTACTTTTAAAGTTTTATTTAAAGTTCTTTCTTTTTGTTGATACTTAACATTTTCGTTGGAGTGAAGGTGTGTAGTACTACTTTTTTCAGTGGATGACGTTCTTCCATAAACACTTCTTGTTACAAATCTTTTTTTCTTGTCATTCTGATTTTCAATCTCTTTTCCTCGGTCCTCATTTTTCTTTTCATTCATCCTTTTTATTTCTTCATCTTTCTTTTCATACTCTTCATCTTCTTCTGAATGGTACTTTGATTTATATGACATACTTCTTCTTTTTTTTAGATCAAGTAAAAAATTTTTTGTTTTCTTTTACATTTTTCGTTTTCTTTCTTTATGATTAAAATTAAGTGTATAAAAGGGTGGGATAATGAGTAGTATCACTGGTCAAATAAATGAAAAACTAACTAAATTACTACGAGTTATTAAGAGTATATTTAAAATATAAATATCAAATACAGGAATAAAAGAAATAATAGAAATAGTAAAATAGAATCCAAATTAAATAATTAAAAGATGAAGAAATCATTTTGTAAGAAGATTAATTTCAATGAATTAGTGAATGTAATACAAATTAACTGAAAGAAAAACATGATATAAAAAAAAGAATGTTGAAAATATAAGAAGGATATTAATTATTATTAATAAATTATGATATATAATTAACAAACAAGAATGTTGTAATATCGAAATTATAATTAGATTTATAAGATGATTGACTCTGAATAATTATTAAGTATATGAATAGATTTAATATTTTTGTATAAAAAAAAATGATTAGATACATTAATATTTGTCATTATAATAGAACTTGTTAAAACTAAATTCTATAATAGAAGTTGAATATATTAAATTTATTAAAAGTAACTATTTCTTAAGATTTATCATATATAATTGTTGAGTTTATATTATAAGTTTTTTCTTTTAGCTTCTCTTGATTGTATTATATCTTTTCATTTATTTTATTTTATTCTAGAATTATTCTGATTGTTCAATTTATTTTTCTATTATGTTCATAACTTTATTCTATATTCTAAGTAATATCTTTTATTAAATTATCACATATTTTTGGTGCATGTATAGTGTCTTATTATTTAAATTGTTTTTATTTATCGGTTCCTCAAGTTAATTTTATTATGTATTTATTTTATGTTTCAGTTATATTAGTTTTAGTATTGTTTGAAGATTTGATTATTATTTATTTGTATATTTTTATTTCTGTCATTATTTAACATATCATATAGTAAGTGTTTAAATAGACCTTGTGGTTATTTGAGATTTATTATTAAATTAAAACCATTACTGTTCATGTTGTGTTTATGCTATTATGATACTTATGGTTGTTGAATATTGTCAGACTATTTTTTATAATATCAGACCATATTTCATAACTATTGAAAGATTTATTCTTTATTGACAAATTCTATATATAGTACTCTTGAATTATAATAAACTTAAATCTTCTTTTTCTAAAGTTGTTTTGAACTTTGAATTTCCTACTTCATCTTTTTCTCGTGAAAGAAAAATAAAAAATGAAAAAGATAGAGGATTTAAAAAAAGGGTTTTTAACAACAAAACGATTTTAGGAAAATCTTCTGATCCTTGAGTATTTTCTGATGAAAGCATTAGAACTTAAAAAAATATAATTTTCATGCAAAGCTATAAGGGGAGCTTTCATCCTTATTGTGACTTATTACGAAAACCAAACCAATTGTTAAACGATTTGGATGCAGAAGAAACAAAAGAAATACTATATCTTTGGAATTTTATTCACCAACAACGAGATATTTTAGATATTGAGAATGCACCAAAAATGAATGAAGATTCAGATGAGACAGAAGACGAAAATGAAGTTATAAAAAAAGAAGATAAAAAACGATTACATTTAGATACAACATTTAAATCTGTGATGGTATATGTTTATCATTCATCATTTAACTATAATTCATTAGCTATAAGATTATGTTCATTAATGTTTTATCACTATTTTAGTTGTTCACAAGAATGTTCATTAGAATATCCTGTACAAGTGATGCAAACAATTCCTGTAAATCGATACACTATTCCATTAATTTTTTATTTAACAACGTCAAACAATGACTTCCTTCAATATAATGAAATAGGCGATATTCCTCATTTATTATTGTTTAAAAATATTAACATATTAATTAAAGATTATTTAATTTCTCCTTTAGGACAACAAACATCAAAAAAAACTCCTGGCTCAATTTATATGAGAACAAGAGTATTAGGTTCTGATCATAAAGGATTTGTATATTATTTATTAAATGGATTCTTAATCTCTAATGCTAATGGAAAATGGTTTATCTTTCATTCTTCTGGTCAAATAGATGATTTTGTTGAAACCTTAAATAAAGACCAACCAGACGTTGACTTATCTACTCAAATCAATAACTTTAGAAAATATATTAAAACTGATAGAAAAGTTGCACAAGAATTTGCAGTATCTAAAAAAGGAATAACACCATCAAGTCATTATAT